AACGAATTCGAAAAATCACCTGAGAATATGTTGCGTGCCAAACGTAGCACGTGTAGCGCAGAAAGCTTTCCTAGCTCCTCCGGTATCGGTCCTGTACGGTGAAAAGTAGCGGGTGATAAGTTAAGAATCCCCCGTTTCTAGACCAGTGAGTGGACGCCAACTAGTTGGCGGGACAAGATCTACGAAGATCAGCCGCCTTGAATAATGAGGTGGGAATTTTTATGTTTTTTTATCGCTTGCGCACTCCTGCTTACAGGCGCCATCCCGCCGGAGTTCGGGAACCTCGCAGCGCTGCAACAGCTCGACCTTGGCCGCAACCGGCTAATCGGTGAGTCATGGAGCGCAATATGATTTGCTAAGAGTTTCGGGATGAGTCCGACCAACTAGTTGGCGTCCACTCACGTCTCTACAAAACGATATTTTGAAATATTTATCAATGTCTCACCAGATAGTTTGTTCTCGAAAAGGTAGAGCTCCTTTAGTGCTGCGAGCTTTCCCAGCTCCGGCGGGATGGGGCCTGCCGTCGAGAGTTCGAGGGGAATATCGAAAAAAAAAAAATCTCGGTCTTCAGAGACGTGAGTGGACGCCAACTAGTTGGCGTCCATTTGAAAAAAGAGAGGCCCACGAGGGATCCGTTCACGTTGCTTCTAACGAACTCGAAAATTCACCTGAGAGGTTGTTGCCATTCAGAAGTAGCGTCTCTAGCGCAGTAAGCTTCCCTAGCTCCTTCGGTATCGGTCCTGTACGGCGAATAACGAAAACCAAGTAGCGGGAAATTTGTAAATAATGCCCCGGCTTCCAGACCTGTGAGTGGACGCCAACTGTGGACGCCAACTAATCGGTGGCATTCATGCTAGGAATCGGGCCGAGAAAAGATGTTCGCTCAAGACGATCGACTCAAATCTGCCTTTGAATACTCACCGCTGAGGTTGTTGTTGTATAGACGGAGCACCTCCAGGTTGCTGAGCTGTCCTAGAGATGCCGGAATTTTACCTGAATGGCATTGGTGGGGAGGGAACGTGGCACGTTTTTTTTCCAGATATTTCTCCATGTTCGTTCTTCGTAGATCTTGTCCCACCCACTGGCGTCCACGAAACTTCAGAACTCGCGGAGTTGGCGTCCACTCACTGGTCTAGAAGCCGGGGCATTCTTTACGTAATTCTCCGCTACGTCGTATTCGTTGTGCGCCATACAGGACCGATTCCGGAGGTGCTAGGAAAGCTTACTGCGCTAGAAAAGCTGGCTCTGGACTCCAACGGCCTCTCAGGTGAGGCATGGAATTCGTAGAAGCAACGTGCATGAATCCCGCGGAACAACTTTTATGGACGCCAACGACGCCAACCCCGCGAGTTCTGAAGTTTCGTGGACGCCAACTACACGTGAGTGTCAACGCTGAACTGGTTTTGAAAAGGTTCAGTGCCGTATCGCCAATGCCTCCATGGCCAGTTTTGGCGGCATGTACAGAGAAGCCTGCAAGCGCAAGAGCGGAATACGGTTGAGCTGCGTCAGTGCTATAAGGTTTCCCAGCTCCAGCGGGATGGGGCTTGTGAATCCAAGAGCAAACTTGAAATGATCACTCCCGCAAATTCCTGTTTACTTTTTCGCTTGCAGGCCCGATCCCGCAGGCGGGGCTGAGAAACCTNGAGTAACCTTTTATTTGGTCTGTGGTTTATTTTTGGTTTTAAATTCTTACCAATACAGGTATTATTAATTTTTATAGCTTTATGGTCCATCCTATAATTTTTATTCTTATTACAAGTCTTGGAGCCGTTTTAGGAATTAAAGTTACAAGTACGCAAAATCCAGTATAGAGTGGGCTTTATCTTTACAGCCCTCACGGAAATCGCCATCGGGTACAACCAGCTGAGCGGTAAGTCACTAATTAAACAAGGGGAATAAAACGTGTCGAACACCAACCAAATGTTCCGTTCGGCACCCACCTCCGTTACTGATACATATGGTGGTGGTCGACAGAAATAAGAGGTGTCACTCGACTCGAGAGTTTTGATGTTGCGTTCGCCACCCACTCTTAATGGTATGGCGTTCATCAGTGGGTGCTGTTGTCGTGTTGGCAAGCAGTAGGGATCGATCAGTCACGACAACATCTACATTGAAGACATAGGGCAAACGAGGTGAATGATCGTGAGAAACGAGAGAGAGAGAGAGAGAGAGAGAGAGAGAGAGAAAGAGAGAGAGGCCGAAGCCAGAGCAGGCGATGATCTGTTCGTTTTGGTGCTATAACGATCACTCGAAAAAAATCCTCATGGGCACGTTTCGCGCATGTCTTGTTTCCACGGGCTCGCCGTTCTTGGAGGAGCACTCTTTGCAACTTTATGTCCTTGGTGTTGCCTATTTGTTGTGGGTCGATGATCGCGAGAGAACCATAGCCTACAAGTTCGATGATGCAAGGGTTTCAACCCGCACCCGTGGCTTGGTTTTCCATATACCTGAAGTATGACATGCTCGCTGGAAACAGCATAGACTGGTGAGCGGTGCGTTGAGCCGAGGGGTCTGTTATCAGCATGGTCGTGACCCCAGGTATTTAGCCTAGTCTTCCTAGAATTGCTAACGGCGCGCATTCTTCGATTGCGCCATTTACCCCGGCTTCTCATGTGATCGAATGCGCTTTTGCTGCGTTTGTGTTTACACACACACGCAGACGATGATGTGGCCGGGCTCCGGAGAATGTTTCCTCGTGCAATTTTCGGAGGAGGTGAGCCCTGTGTGCCACGGTGGCTCGGTTGGCGATTTGTGCACGAGTCTCGGGTAAAAAAAACAATGATTGGCGCGCGGCGTTTTATCCAGAGCTTGTTTTGATGAAAAACGCATGACAGTTTGTGGAGTTTGTGGATACACTTCTACCTCCTCCTCGGAAGGTCACGTGAGCAAGTGCGGGCACGCAACTGATACGTCGTATTGTTTCGTCGAAGGTGGTTCCTACTACATCTTCGGACTGTAACTAAACGACGCGGGGGGGGTACCGCACAACAATCGCGGTTGCGAACGCTCGGTGCGCCGGCATCATGTCCATCGGAAACCCCGATAAGGTTGTTCCAACCAGCACGTCGTTAAAGCCTATCAAGATCCCTTGATGTTCACGATTTGCTTATCTCAGCGTATAGAGTTGTGGCCGGTCGCGAAAGGCAAGTTGTTTTGAATGTGTTTGGGTTTTTCACGGGTTCGAACGCTGTCGATCACGGCAGGCATTCTGAGAGAGGCACGAGGAGGCCTCCATTGTACCAGTTCTGAAACTTCAACAAATCATACGTCGCCTGAACGACACGCCGAACCCTGTTCGTCCACTTCCCCTTGTCCATATCGCATTTTCGGGCTGGACGCGTTTTGCAGAGACGGAGCAACGGAGGCCAGGCGTGCCACAGTCTGCTGCGGAGTACGATTACAACCTCCCGATCGCGGCCGAGGCGCCGTCGGGAATGGATGCATTGAACTACGCGATCTACGTCAAGTCACTGGCTGATTTGTTTTCGCACAATGATCACAACGTGCTACCAGCCGCTGTGGGTGTTTACGCACCGTGGGGATCGGGCAAGGTCAGACCACATTGTTTTAAAGTTAGTGGAACAGCTTTTGTAGATACATACATACGTTTACGTTTGGCGTTTGCTTGGTGGCTACCCTGGATTGCATTTGCCCTTGTACCTGACGCTCCCATCGAACCAAGGAATAGCCTAAATGTAGCGGGGGCCATGTCGATATCAAGTCGATTGCCAAACTCAAACACAACGAACAATACTGCGAGTATACGACCTCTGGCATATCACGCACACATTTGTGGCAGAAAGCATTAGCACCTACACAGGCCGAGTCCTACGGCGTGTGCGCCCGTTTGTTTGTGATATTGTATGTGTAACACCCGGGGGCGAAGTCTCGACTTCGTCTCTTTCTAAAAGTTGATGACGGTATCCTTCATTGGGGCGGTTTTGAAGCAGCTAATTCTCACGCTCGGAGCACGGGGGTTGTGATGAGAAAATGAAATATGTTGTGCCTACATATGTTCACTTCCTTCAACCCCAGCGGTCTCGCGTAGTTTTGGTTGGTTCGACTGGGGCGAGACACATTGACGGTTTCATGCCTGGCTCGAGCACGACCGCCAACCCCAGCCGAACCGAAATCATACTTTATGCAGACATGCTGCAAGTACTTCGACCTTTTTTTTTGTATTTTCAAGAAATAGGTGAACGCAGGCGCGTTTTCTTTCAACACGCGTAAAACTCGAACTCAGACCTAGGCACGCGTTATGCTCTTGATGCGTCCAACGCACCAGACTTTTTTGCTGGAGCTACTGGAGGAAGAGCTCGTGGACAAGAAGAAGAACCAGCATGTTGAACCTCAGAATGGGTGCTTGGAGAAGTCATGCTGCTGCTGCTGCCCAAAGGTCTTGGAGCGCAGGTTTCTCGTCGTGGTCGCCCGATTCTTGTTGCGCGAGATCGGAAAGTGGGTAAATCAGAAGTTTTGTTGCCACTCAACCGGTGGGGTAGCAGCAGAAGACCCGGAGACAGGGGGGAGCAGGTCCCTCAGCGGACAGAAAAGGGCTCGGAAATTCATCTTCGTGAAGTTTAACGCGTGGGAATACGGCGATTCCGAGGTTCTGTGGGCGGCCTTGGCATCCAAGATCTTCACCGCGGTGGGTGGCTTTGCGATAACCTTTGGTGCGGTGCGGGTTAGAGGGAGGCAGTCCTCATCTCTACTAGAGGACGTACGGCGATAGAGCCGCCTTTTTATTCGATCGCCTGAGAACGTCCCTATCGCAACCGCATAGACGTCGGGATGCTTTTTGCCGGGAGTGGGCGAAATTACATCGGATTGCACGTTAGGGATATCATCGGAACAACGCAATGATGGCTTTCACATCCACATATATTGTTGTGTGTGTCAGTATGCATTTTTTTTTTTTCGAAAGGATACCGGCACATTTACCAATATTGGACGAGCGTCCGATGAATTGGCCACGTTGAATAATAGGCAGTAAACGCAGAAGTATGCTGTGGTGTTGTCAGGTACGGGTCTGTGTGCTTTCTTGCCGCGAGCAAACGAACCAATTCTGGTTCAGATCCCCGTGGAAAATACAACCCGGAGCGCGACGCACGCTCCCTTTTCCAATCAACAGGTAGAGAACCACGAAGACTTCGGGCAGGGGGTCGTGCGGGAGAAGCGTGTGGTGGAGTTGCTCGACAAGCGCATCTGGGACTGGTGTGGCCTCTGCGTGTTTTTCATCGTCTTCGCTCTCTTGGGGATCATCACGGTTTTTCTGGTGGAGTACACTTCCAACGCAATCTCTGAGACCATCGAAGGGGTGGTGGCATTGGCGGCAAGCGTGGTGGGCGCCCTCGTCCTCACGATCGTGAAGTTTTTGCTTCAGGTACGCCGTGGCAGAGACGAAGCTATTTCCAATTATTGTGACACACAAGCGGTAGATGACCTTCAGTTGTACATATGTGCGGCGGAATCTTCACTGTCGGTTTCAACCCGCTGACCCTTCACAACTGTTGTGTTGAGTCCGGCGCTTGGGCCTGCGAAACCTTCATTTTCCTCGCTGTATCCTCACCCGAGAAGGCTATTATAGTGGCATGTTGCCGCAAAAGTGGTTCATAGCTTGTACACAGGCGAGAATAACCTGTGTTTCCGCCGGCTGATGGCGTGTGCTCGACAGGTGCGCGCTCGCGGGGTCTTTGATACCGCACAAGGTGTCTTGAGAAAGGCATATGTAGACGGGAAGAAGAGCGTTGGTGACGGCCGCCTCGGGTTCATGTCGGAGGTCAAGGAAGAGCTGCGTGTAAGTGCCTGACACCAACCAGGAACAACGAGATGGTAGTTGCTCCGAAGGGGTTGGAGCTTTGGAGCTGGGCAACTCTGCCGACTCATATATTACGTGTGTTCGTTTGCGAGATTGCCTTGCACACTGGTTGTTTGCAGCACACTAGCCTCAATAGAGAACAGCAAGAGCAGCTCGGAGACGCCTCGAGTTATTCGATAGTACGACTCTCCGATCGATGATTCGATTGTGGACTGTGTTCAATTCACTGAGAGCTGAGAGCAGAACTTGAGCTACCCGCTTCCTTCCGTCACCGGTGCCTTCGCTGCTGTTTATGTAGATATTGTTCGAGCTGATCGGCGCCCACAACACCACATGGGAAAGCAACGGCAAACGTGGAGTCACCGTTGCTGTCATTATCGATGACTTGGATCGCTGCGCTCCAGATACAATTCTGCAGACGTTGCAGGCGACACATCTTTTACTGCAACAGCCGGAGGCACAGATGGTCGTGTTCCTCGCTGTTGACCCGAGAATCATCGTTTCTGCGATCGACAAGAAGTTAGAGGACGTTCCAGACGAGGTAAACTTGCTTAGCCCGCACAAAATGGTGATATTCACGCGGTCTTGTTGGCCTCTTTGCTCGCTTGAATGGAAACGCGGTTTGTCCCTCTGCCCGGTATTCCTCAGGTGAACGGGCTGGTGTATCTCGAGAAGATCATACACATTCCGTTTTGTCTTCCGCAGATATCGAAAGAAGATCAGCGCAATTATCTTCAAGGCCTCCTGAGCGAAGAACCGCCCGCCGCCCCCTCCTCATCTCCTCCGAGTCGCCCGGAGGGGGCTGCGAGCACAAGTAGCTCCACAGACGCTGCACCTACTACTGTGGCACCCGTAACAGGCCCCGAACCTCCGAGCGCACCGATTTCTACCGTTCCATCGACTGGCACTGGCGCCTCTCCGCGAACCCCTGAAGTCCGTGAGACTCGTGAGACTCGTCGTGCGCTGACTGCGGCGGAGCGTACGGTGTTCACTGCAGTCTTGGAGAAAATCAAGGCAACTCCCCGCAAGATCAAGCGTGCGGTGAACGTGTGAGTGTACAGCGTACGTGACCACGCTAGCCTGGCTTAAACCTGTAACAATGCGCGGACTTCGGTGTGTTTCAATGCGCGGACTACGGTGTGTTTCTGGTATGCGTCGGCGTAACTTTGTGGTAGAGAACTTTTCCGATTCGTCGAAGTTCAGAAATTTATTCAGCTTAGGCTGGTTTGGCGCTCTTTCTCTTCCCCCCCCCTTTCCTGTGCAGGTACGTTCTTCAGCGATCGCTGGCGAAACTAAATGGACTGGATGACGACAAGTTGCCAGCCCTCGTGAAGTGGAGCATCCTGTCGGAATTCTGGTCCGTACGACAAAATTGGCAGTTCGATACAGTGTCTGCAAAGATTATCGCCCTCGACCTATCCTCATGCAACTTTTGCACATAACCCAAGGAAAAGTGTGCGCGCGGAAGACGAAGGCTTTCTTTCGCACATTTCGAGAAGGGTGACAGCATATATTCGCTCTTAGTCTTGGCCGCCCCACGCTTTTTATATCTCCCTACTGACTCGTTCGCCCCTCTGCCTGCGCCGAGTGTAGGCCTTGCCGTGTGTCAGGCATCGCTTCTGCCGCGCAAAACGGACTAGAGGTGGACGACATCACAACCGCGTACGACGTTGGCGTTCGCGGGAATCAGGACAAGGAAAAATTGAAGCCGCTCTATCTAATCGATGGCCCGGAGGGAAGCTTTTTGGATGCTTTGCGCGTAAAGGACACGCCCACCATATCGAGTGTGCAGGTGTGTTCACCGTGAGCGATCGGGCACGGATTTCATCAAGGTAGTGTATTGGCTGTTGACACTGACAAACGACAAACTTGGGGCACTTTCGCCCGGGCTCGCTTGAACTTCTGTATGTACAGACGCGGCCAGTGCATGTCTTGAACGTGCGTGATGGGATGATACTGGCCGGCGAGGTTCAGAAATCTACTCTTTCACCATGTGCTCGTCTCTGCCCTCTGCCCCGTCCGCGTCCACGTCGGCAACATGCCACACAGGTTCTGGAGTTTTTGCCGTACTCGGTGGGCCTGAACCCTGCGATAGTGTCTGCGGTCGAAGCTGACATGAGGGAAGCTCCAGCTCCAGTGGTCGAAGCGAGGACTAGGGAAGCTGGAGTGGAAGAAGCGAAGACGGGGGGCTCTGCAGAGTGACGTCAGCAGACTTAAGTCGGATATATGCATCCTCGTGTCGCAGTTTTCTCCCAAGGCACCTTGCATTGCGCATGTGGACTTATTATTCTCCATTATTGGAGGCTTTCGTGACAGATGCCGGATTTCGTTTCGTTTTTCGTGAAACTGCCATACCAGGAATCCCAATGGAGTTGGTTCCACCCTGATTTTCGTCCTGTACCGAATCAAACGGTACACGATGAGGAACGAATTTACTTGTTGGGGGGTTCTTGGTTGCGGTGCGCCGTCGTTCGTGAACGCCAAGCTCTCGCGAGGGGCACAGAAGTTTCGTTCATGCATGTGTACGCGTGTTGTTAGGCGTCTTCTACAGATCAGGATAGACATCGCCAACCGTCTCACCGATTTGTAGACCTCAGTTGTGGCGGGGAAAACATGCCGACCGATTTCTAGTCGGGATTCCCAAGGGGATTGATGAAGGAGACTCCTTTGAAGGTTAGGGATTCCGGTTTTTCGAAGACGAAAGGATACTTGTGTGTGGCGTGCGGAGTGTGAGTGTACTGTGCGACATTCAAGACTTTGGTCTTCCCCCGGTTGTAGGGTCGTTATGCATCTTAATGCTAGAGAACTCCTTGGGGTGGGTGCATGTGTGGATTGCCCTCAAGAACATATGGCTTACACAGAAGAGTATTGTTTAGTGTATATATGTACGTCTGCAAGTCGATCGGAATTCTAGCAAGTGTAATTCAGTGCCATCGGGATTAACCATGCAAAACCTACATGAAACCTGATTCCATCCAAGGTTTGCAATGGATTGATATATTCAGCATCACAACGCGATTGCCCTCTAAGTTGCCTTGTCTTTCGTCCCACCGATGGAGGTACTTGCCCAAAAGCGAGCCTGTTGGCGTGGAAAGCTCTTGCGTTGACCTCGGGGATAGGAGTTCTGGCCACCAGGAGAAATCTACACTTCCACGGGGCATAGACACTTTCGAGAAAAAAAAAAGCTTGTCGGATCGTCGTGTGCTGTTTTTGACTTCCCGGTACAGCGAAAAACGCTGCACGGTTGCCCCTCTATAGAACCGCGCAACACTTGTGACCCCTCACACCAGATTATTCAGCAAAATACGCCTACTTGAGCTTCGTACCAGTACCAAGCATTGCGCACACCAAGAAAACATAATTCGTGTCGTTTTCAACCATTCTCTCCATACAAGATACGCTCAATACAAAATGACTGCTGTTCGAAGGCAAGCTCAACGCAGGGCGGTGCGGATCTATTTCCCTCCGACCTCACAACCGTTGGTCAATAGCGAGAACGAAAACCGTCCGAACAAAGCGTTCCGCCGGCCTAAACCCTGCAAGCACCGGCAATCATCTACAACACCTCCATGCCTCCGGGCGCGCATTGCACTACCTTAGCCACCTCTACGTACTGCATTGCACCCACTAGGAAGCGGCCAAAAAAAGTCCCGAGCTTCTTGCTGCTGTTGTTGCAGGCAAAAAGAGCACCGCAGCTAAATTACAAAAGATACCGAACTTAATTTTTCTCATCGACACATGTGGGCTCTGTTGCCGGGCGAGGGTTGCCTTTATCACCTCCGACAAGCAACCAGAACAGGATCAAAACTCTCACGGAATTTCGCAGCAAAAACTCACGGAGTAGTCAAGCGAGAGGGACTCTGAATTGTAAACAAGAATACGCAAGAGAGCCCTCAACGGTTCATGCCATCGTGCCAATCACGAGGAGCGTTGTGGGCTTGCAATCACGGCAAACAACATAAAAGTTGGAAGACAGAACGTTGGCGTCGGAATCGACGAAGAAACGCTACATGCTAGCAAGAGCGCCTTTCATAACCTCTTCTACATCTACCGGCTAAGTAAAGTGTTCTCCACAGGGGCAAACCCACATTCAGTCAATCATGACGCCGAGCAGCTGCAGCAGACACAGCATCGGCAGCTGAAAATTGATCGGCATCGAGAGCACTCCCTAGCGGATTGCTTCGTCGATTGAAGCAAGCCTATAAAAAAACACCCAAGTGGAAAATCCCGCCGGCGAACAAGGACAAAAACAGCAGCAGCAGATCCACCTCCACACACATCCAAAATATGACGAGCGCCGTTTTTCACAGTGACCTACCAAAACGACGCGAGACATCTACGGAGCCCGTGCTTGTTACACCGAGTCAAAATCGGAAACACCCAGCAACACAATATAGAAGGACACGGAAATACCACACGATTCACCGGAACACGACCTGAACGCTCAAGAGGACGCATATGAAACACAAAGCACCACATTCACAATATCGTACAAGCCTTCGCTGGGAGGGGGAAACGGCCCGAAACGAAGCGCCAACGTCACCTCTCATCTTTATCGCTATTGGGTCATTTCTCTCCAGCCCCAACCTTGGCCACGCCCACCCAAAATCTCCCCCCTACCCCCCCAATATTCAAGCTATCCCGGAACTACGACGGCGGTGTGAAGAACGGGTGCTGCGCTAGAATCGTTAAATTTGGTGTCCAAGATGTAAGAAAGGGAAGTTCGGCCAGAATTGGGTGGGATTTGTATACACGCGGCTCGGCTGCTGGAAATAAGGGGTATTAAAGGAAAGCAACTGTTGAAATTTGCCTCACCAGTGATCGTTCGATATATCTAAGGGAGGAATATGTTGAATATACCCTACAGACGAGAGTTGCGCGGGTCCGGATTTCATTCTGCGGTGGTTCTCCAAGTGTAGATCCCTGGGTACCCATCTCCCGACACGGCGCCCCCGGGTGGGTTCTCTTGTCTCATGTTCTCCCCCTTGCGATTTTCAAGTAATTTTGGGGCATTGGGGCATTTTGGGGCATTGGGGCATTTTGGGGCATGCCCCAATTTTGGGGCAAGAAAAAAAACACTTTTTTGATATCGCCGCACCAAATCGCTGAATTTCTGCGAAATCTCGCCGTAAATTCGGAAGGACAGGAAATAACCAACGGCGGCAGCTGTGTGATGTATTCCAGTACATGTGTAGCTGTGGGTGTTAGGTATGTGTGCGTGCGATTGAAGCTGCTGCTGCTGTGTGGATCATATTCGAGTGGCCGAGCTGGTGTTATAGTCTGCAGCCGCAGCAGTTGGTGATTTGAGAATGCACGAGAGCGGAGTTAGTTGTGTTGTGAAGTATAGTCTAGATGTAGACTATACGAGAGCGGAGTTGTGTTGTGAGATATAGTCTAGTTGTAGAAGAACTCTACTATTGTACTGCTGTGCGTCAGCGTTGGTTGGACTCTGCATATGATACATGATACAGGAACAGAGCAAGATCTGTTCGTGCTGTTGTGCGTGTTGTTGCCGAGGTGTGCTGTTTCTTGTTTGCTTGAAGTCCGGCACGCCTGCTTGCGGCACACGTTACGTCCCGCACCTCTCTGGCTGGAGTTTGTGTACACTAAAGTGGGCAAAGTGAGCGTGTCTGCGTAATGCCAACCACGAGAGCCGAGCGGAGGAAAACAAATGTGCTTGCCCTTTGTGCGTTTGCAGTGTTCCATATCATCATAGACTCGGCGTATCATATGCACTCCGAGTATCATGTTCTTTACTTATTTCTTCAGTCCGTGCTCGGCGTGGCGACAACAAGTTCTACTCCATCCGTACCAGTCGTGCGGGACGAGACGAACGGAATATCTATCCCGTCTCCCACGCAGGAGGCAAACACATACGCCAGACAACAAAACGCATAGAGGAGGACAGAGCCATCACCCTTGACGNAAATGCATCTACAACAACTCAACACCAACACCAACAGATATTTCGAGTCCCCAACCCTCAGATTGACATGTGCCCACTGGCGGGTCCTACAGCGGGCGCGGGCGAGGTCTCAGGCCTTGAAGGAGAGTACCTGTACTCTGAAATATTGTTGCTTTCGAAAAAGTCCGATAGTTTCTCCTGCTTGAGTGCAACGTTGCCTGTCAACTTCAGCTCTATGACTTTCATGTAGGCGATCGCGACTGCGTCCGTGAGGGTGCTGATCTGTTCAAGCTTCAAATGCACCCCGCTAGCGACTCTTTCACTCGCTCTATCTCTGTCCCCTCTGGCGCGCTTCGA